GCATAAAACTCAAAGTGGATCAAAGACCCAGGAATTAAACCAAAAACCCTGCATATAGTAGAAGAAAATGTAGGCTCAATACTCTACCATGTCAGGATTGGGATCTGACTTCCTGAACAAGACTCCTAAAGCACAAGAAGTGAAATCAAGAATCAATAAATGGGATGGCATCAAAATAAATAGCTTCTTCACAGCAAAGGAAACAGTCAAGAATGTGAAGAGAGAGCATATAGAATGGGAGAATATCTTTGCCACATGCATCTCAGACAGGGCATTAATTTCCAGAATATATAAAGAATTAAAAATACTTAACACCAAAAAACAACCCAATCAATAAATGAGCAAAGTAACTGAACAGACAGTTCTCAAAAGAAGGAGTATAAATGGTCAACAAATATATGAAAAAGTGTTCAACATCTCTAGAGAGAATTGAGAATTAAAATTACAGAGATTTCATCTCACTCCAGTCAGAATAGCAATTATCAAAAATACAAGTAACAATAAATGTTGGTGAAGATATGGTGAAAAATTTACGTTCATACATTGCTGATAGGACTACAAATTGATGCATCTACTCTGGAAAGCAGCATAGAGATCTCCCATAAAACTAGGAATGGAATCACCATTAAACCCAGCTATCCCACTTCTTGGTATATATTTAAAATGTAGGATTTAAAATGAGTATACTGGGGGCTCGGGTTGTAACTCAGTGGTAGCGCATTTTGCCTGGCATGTATAACGCACTGGGTTCGATCCTCAGCACCACAAACAAATAAATAAAGATACTGTGTGTCCATCTCCAACTAAAAAAAAAAAATTAAAAATAAATAAATAAAAATAAACAAAATGAGTATACTGCAGTGCCACAGCCACATCAATGTTTTATCACAGCTCAGTTCACAATTAGCTAACCTATGGAGCCAACCTATGTACCCTTCAACAGATGAATGGATACATAAAATGATAAAATGTGAGATATATATATATATGTGTGTGTGTGTATATATATATATATATATATATATATATATACACACACACATACACACAAAACTTGGCCCTTAAGAAGAATGACTTTATTACATTTTATTACAGTAAATGGATGGATCTGGAGACTATCGTGCTAGGTAAAATAAGCCAGAACCCAAAACCAAAGTTCACTTGTTTTCTCTGATATGTAGAAACTCACCCACAATAAGTAGGGGAGAATAAGAATAGAAGTTCATTGGATTAGACAAAGGGGAATGAAAGGAAGGGATGGGGGGATAGGGAAAGAAAAGACAGTGTAGATCTGACATGATTTTCCTATGTACCTATATGAATTCACCACAGTAAATCCCACCATCGTGTACATCCACATAATGAGGTCCTAATTAGAAAAAGACATATTCCATGCTTGTATAATTATATCAAAATAGATTCTACTATCATATATAACTAAAAACAAAACAATAACATAAAATAAAATTTGTGAGGTTTTTAAATATTTTTTTCTTCTTTGAAATGGGGTTCTTACTGTGGTAGCCAGGTTGGTCTCAAATTCATGAGCTTAAGTGATTCTTCCACCTCAACCTACCACATAGCTGGGACCACAGGTGTATACCACCATGCCCAGCTTAAAATTGTTTTTATTGTGGAAAATTTCAAATATGTAAGGATATAGAATACTATATTGGTAAGTCCATATGTGCTCTCATTTAGCTTCAACAAATGTCAAGACATGACCAGGGTTTTTTTCATCTGTACCCCAACTCATTACTCTTTACCCTCCACTGCACAACACAGCTATTATATCATTTCATTAACAGTGTACCTGTTTTTTGATGGAAGATTAACTGCATGATGTACAACATTTAATCTACAGTCAGATTTATTCCAATTAACCTTTTATAACTAATTACTTCAGGCTTTTCTCTTTATGCAAGTATAGAAATGTAACTACGTGTGTAGTTATGTTTTTTTAATATTTATTTTTTTAGTTGTAGTTAAACAGAATATCTTTATTCTATTTATTTATTTATATGTAGTGCTGAGGATCAAACCCAGGGTCTTGCACATGCTAAGCAAGCGCTCTACCGCTGAGCCACAACCCCAGCCCCATGTAGTTATGTTTTTATGTGTTTTATTTAAAATGAATAGTTGGTAGAAACCTTCCTTTTTCACGTACGGATAAATTATAAAAATCTTTCTCTCACAAAGGAAGGAGCTACTTCATTCTTTTTAGCTGCTGCAGAGAATTACATCAGGTGAATATGTCATAATTTTAACCAATCCATTTGATAGATGTGTAGGTTTCTTTTTGTATTTTTCTAGCACAGAGCTCCATGAGCATCACTGTGTATCATATTTGAATACCTATAGATTTCTGTGAGCATAGATTTAGAAAAGGAATTGCTAGCCCAGTGTGGTGGCACTCACTTGTAATCCCAGCAACTCCGGAGGCTGAGGCAGGAAGATTGCAAGTTTGAGAACAAGACTCAGCAACTTAACAAGGCCCTAAACAACTTAGCAAAACTCTGTCTCAAAAAATAAAAAGAGCTGTGGATGTGGCTCAGTGGTTAGGCACCCCTGGGTTCAATCCCTGGTACAAAGAAAAGAAAGAAAGGAAGAAAAGGAATTGCTAGATCAGGCATCTTTTAGGGGAAGAAAAAGGAAATGACTCTACCCTGCTGTTCCATACTGGTACCTTGCTCTAACCTGTGCTTTGATGCTAATGAGTACCAATTTGAAGATCACCCTAGGTGGGTGTGAGGCAAATAAGGAACAATATATTGTTCAGAAAACCTAAAAAGTAAGTGGGTGTGTTCAAATGCTGGACAATGAGGACCTTTATGCATAACTGACATCTCCAAGACATCGCAGAAGCCAGAGAGCCAATGAGCGAGATTGTTGCCAGGCTACACAGAAGGCAGAGGGATGGGTGGACTGGCGGGGGTGTTGGGCTGTGTGTAAAGGACAATATAATAACAGTGATAATCCTTTACATTTGTATAACACTTTACAGTTTACCCAGGGCTTTCATGTCCATTTTCTAATTGAAGTTGCACAATAGCCGTGTGCAAAAATTTGAACTGCCAAAAATATACAATAGGATTTCTGTGGGTGGACATTATGGAATCTACAATAACAAAAATGTGGAAATAGTGTTAGCCCATACAGGACAAGATCACTGGCTGGACCAAAACATCATATAAGACCTAGGAGGGTGCAGACTAGGCAGCCTCATGGGACTGCAGTGGTGGACTCTTTCCATCAGCCACATGCTCATTAGCATCTTTCCAGGAATGTGGGATAGGTCACTTCCAAGCGGCTCTGTGAGAGCCACCTGGAGACCGTGTTCTTACCCCCAGAGATTCTGACTCAGTGGGTTTGAAGTGGAGTCGTGGGTTTGAAGTGGAGTCCAGAAATCATGCACTTGAATTCTGCTGTCATATATAACAAATTAGAATAAATAATAAAAATTTTTAAAAGATATGAATATTCTGGAGTGTAATTGCATAGCATGTTAACTAAGTATGTCATTTTTTTAATGATTGAAAACTGCTAAGTGAGTAGATCCTAATGTTCTCACTGTTAGAAAAAATGTGAGATGATGGATATGTTAATTAACCTGATATAAACACTTAACAATATATACATAAATAAAAACATCAAATTGTACACCAAAATACACACAATGTACATTTCTTAAATACACCTTAATAATGCTGATAAGAAATAAAAAAAAAGAAATCATGCACTTGAGCAAGCTCTCCCTGATGCTGATAGGCAGCCAGGTTTCTAAGCCACTGTTCTGGAAGAATCTTGGAGAACCGCAACTAGTGGAATTTACTCTACCCATCTATAGACAGATGAGACTACTTCACACCTAAGTCAGTGGACCTGGGTTGAGGAAAAGAAAACCAGCCAGTCCAGTTTAGTGTACTGCAGGATATATATGGGAGGCATATAAAATACACATATGTACCTGAGTTGTGGCAAAGAAGGTTCTTCGTGCAAATAAAATTTCTGAAGACTTTAAAATAATTTAAAATTTTACACCAAAGGCTATTTCAAGATATGGTGAATTGGGGTTGGAGGCATGTATTGCTTAGAGTTCTTAGAGTTGAGTTCTGGCCTACAGAAGCTATTTTAGAGAGGACCAAACCCTGAACTTAAAATCAGAGGACCCTGGGTAGGGGCCCTGCCAGATGACATCCCAGGGAGGGCCTTCCACACAGGATCTCATCTCTCGGCCTTGTTTTCCTCTTGTAAAAAATGCACTTCTCTGTCACTGTGATAGCAGTGACCTTCTCCTTTGCCCACTATAGTTATCTCCACCCATCCTTCTCGAGTCACCTCCTAGTCTGAGCCACCACTCAGCCTCTGACTTAATTTCTCCTCCTTTCGCAATCCTTTTTTTTTTAAACATTCCCAGATTGCTCACAAAAGCCAAAAGCGTAAGCTTGTGTGTGTGTCTGTGTGTCTGTGTGATGTAACATATTTGGGAAGCACCCAGGGGTATATAAAATATACATGTGTACCTGAGTTTCCTCATTCTACTCAATTCAGGAAAATTTTGAACTCTTCATTGTTTTTTTTCTTTCCTAGAAAATGGATTTATGAACTAGCCTTGCAACTAAGCACTTACAGGAACCCACAAAAATCTTCACCCACCTGTTCACACTCATACACAACCTTTCATGCCACAACATCTTTATTCCTCTTTAATGTTTTCCCTGCCCTTACCTTAACTCTGTGATCACCTTGGCTGTAAATATTGATGTTTGCCCTTGAAGCTGAAAGTAAAGTAAAAAAGTAGAGGAAATAGAAATAAGAAGGCACTGGTGCTCAACTATCATGGAGACTGAGATTTCAGACTTCTCCACATCTGTACTAAATGGATATTTAATCGGATGAATGCAAACATGATTGCAATCAGGGATTTGTCCTACCAAATGTCTGTAAATGCACCATGTTAAAAATGATAACCATCAAACCTCTTTCCCATTCCTTTGTAGTGAAAACATTGTTCAATCCAGCTCCTGCCATTGCTGACCTGGATCCGCAGTTCTACAGCCTCTCGGACGTGTTCTGCTGCAATGAAAGCGAGGTAAGGATGAACTGGGGTGGCCATTCTTTGAGAAACTGGAAGACTTGCATGTAAGGGGATAAAGCAGAGGCAGGATGAACTACGTCGATTGGATCACAAGTGTCTTAGACATAATGATCACAGATTTTTCAGTTTGCTGGGGTGTGAAGAAAAGGAAATCAGTAAGTTCTGGGGGTTGGGGGAATTCTTTGAGTCACCTCCTTAATGTGGTACTTATCAAACCCGTTAGTTAGTCCCCTCCCTGCCCTCACACTCTGGTGTTTTGTTTTCTTTTCTAATTATTTCATATTCTGTGAACTAATTAGCATTAGAGTTGCCAGGCTGAGCAAATAAAAATACAGATGCCCAGATAAATTTGAATTTCAGATAGTCAGTGAATAATATACCAAACATACTTACACTATAAAATTATTGGTTGTTTATCTGAAATTCAGATTTAGCTGAGCTTCCTGTATTTTATCTAATGACCCTAGTTAGTATACAACTCCTGGCGTGACTGCTGCCTTCTGTGGTGAGACCCCATGACAGCACTGGTGGACAGACAAAGGTTCTTCATGATGCCGCAGCAAAGTCCTTGGGGGCCACTGCATGAGGGCAGCAGCCTCTGAGTCCATCTGAGGGTCATAATGTACACATCTGCACAAAATCTCTCCCAGTATGTTGATATGAGGCTATTGTCAGTATTTTTAGGAAGAAAATTCAGTATTTCCTCCTTTTTATAGGTTAGACAGCATTAGACCAGAGCTCTCTCCCATGATTGGGATGCAGGACCTGCAGACACATTGGCAAATGCGACATGCGCATAGAAAACGTCATTAATGAACTGTAAGGTCATTTGCCATTTAGTTCAAAGGCTGAATGAAAGTCTCTAGGATTTCTTGACCTGCTTTTTTGATAATTTCATCTTTTAGAACATAGAGGACACAAAAAAGAAGACTGCTACATGGAAACTAATTTAACAAACCACAATAGGTTATGCAATATTTCGAGCAACCACCATAGCGAGGCATTGGACTAAGAAAAAGGAATTGTGGGAGAGAGTGACCATTTCACAATAAGAGGTTACATTACCCTCAACTGCCAAACTGGCTCAGATTTCCCTGCTAGATACTTACACAGCACTCTAGGTATTCTTTAAACACTCATCACGGCCTAAATTTATTTATTCAGTCCTCCTATCTTCTCCATTAAATTACAAGTTCCATGAGGACAGGGCACCTGTCTTATTCACTTGTATCCCCGGTAGCCATCCCTATGTGTATATGTTATCAATTGCTGAGTAATAAATTACCCCCCCAAATGAATTGGCTTATAACAATAATTATTGTCATTCGTAGTTTCCATGTATCAGGAATTCAGACAGAACACAGTATGGTTTATCTCTGCTCCATAATGCTTGGGCCCTCCATGGGAGACTCAAAGGCTGAGGGATGGAATTATCTGAAGTCTTTTTCACACATATGCTTGACAGTTTGGTGCTGGCTGTTAGCTGGGGGCATGATGGGGCTGTGGGCCACTTATACATGGCCTTTCCTTGTGTCCTGGGATTCCTCACAATATGGTAGCTGTTTTCCCAGATCCCAGCACTGAGAAAGAGAGAGTGCAACAGACAGAAGTCATGATGTCCTTTTACTTAGCTTCAGAAGTCCCACAGCATCATTCTGTCCCATTCTGTTGGTTGAAGAAGTAAGGTTCACCTTGGTACCCCACCTCTCAACAGAAGACTGCATTGTCATAGTGTAAAAAGTGCATGCACAACATTCATATGGTTATCTTTGGAAAATAACATCTGCTACATTGTACCTTACAAAGTTGGCACCTAGTAAATGCTTATTAAATGCATGAACACGGGTCTTTAAGAAAATTAGTTTCAAAAATTCTATCAAAAAAAAGAAAAACTTTAAAAGTTTTAATGTTCTTATAGATTGATTCAAATAATTCTCACTAATAATGTACATTCATGCTTAAGATATTGCCTCTGTTTCAAACCTAAATCATTGATATATAAGTATTTTTTTAAAAATGGGGTTAGAGTTGTGGCTCGGTGGTAGTGAATCTGCCTAGCATGTGTGAGGCACTGGATTCAATCCTCAATACCACATTAAAAAATAAATAAATAAAGTTATTATGTCCATCTACAATAAAAATATTTTTTAAAAAAGGAAAGAGAAGAAACAACGAGCTGGGCACAGTGGGCACACTTGTAATCCCAGCAATTCTGGAGACTGAGGCAGGAGGATTGCAAGTTAGAGGCCAGCCTGGCCAACTTAGCAAGACCCTGTTCAAAATAAATTAAAAAGGGTAGATATAGCTCAATAGTAGAATACTACTAGATTTAATCCCAGCACCACACACACAAAAACAATAAAAAGATACTCAGAAGCTTCAAAATAAGATTAAATAACTCTACAGATCAAATTATAACAGCTTCACAGAGCATTCAGCCCTTGGTGTGCTGTACAGGAAGCCGGGAAGCTGGGAGAGTGATGGGCATCTCACATCCTTAGGTAACCGGCACTAAAAGTGGACCACATGGGGAGACTAGTGGTGCTCATAGCTGGAAACCACACATGCTGGCCTGGCTGGCCTGTGAACAATAAGAGGTGGAAGAAGCTGCTACCCCTTCCACAAGGCTACAATATATTTAAGGCTCCCACCAGAGGTGACAGGAGGACAGAGACACTGCCTCTGAGGAGGAGGGAAACCAACAATGACTTAAGAGTTTTCATTGTCAATGTCCCAATCACTGAAAAGCAGGAACGCTTTATGACCAGTATAATACCTTGCTCTGGTTTTGAGATCCGTGGACGCCTGATAAATAGAACCCTAAAACCTCTAGAAAGGTAGAGATGGGCCAGGTGGGAGGTGAACTATGAAGACTCTCCTTCTGACAGCAAGGAGAGTGAGCCTGCGCACAAAGCAGCAGACACACCAGCAACCAGCAGAGTTGGCAGTCTGAAGAGGAAATTCAAATAATAAAACAATGCAAGGAAAGACTGTAAAGTAAACATGATTAACGTTTGTTGAAGAAGAAATTGTGAAAGAAAAACAGAATCAAAGCAATAATATGTAATATGAGAAACAACTCATTAGACATCTTGAAAACAAAAGTGGTCACTGAAAAAAATTTTACATCATTCATGAAAAAATAAACATTTAGGTGGGCTGGGGTTATGGCTCAGTGGTAGAGCACTTGCCTGGCACGTGTGAGGCACTGGGTTCAAACCTCAGCACCAAATAAAAACAAATAAATAAAGTATTGTGTCCATCTACAACTAAAAATTATTCAAATAAATAAGTAAATAAACAAACATTAGGACTGGGTATGTAGCTCAGTCATAGGGCGCTTATCTAGTATATATGAGGCCCTGGGTTCAATCACCAGAACTGCAATAAATAAGTAAACACATTGGAATAAGGAAATAGTGAATTGGAAGATTCTTAATCCATTCACTTAGAGATAGAAAATTCAGTTCACCAAGAAAGCAGGGCAGAAAGAAAAATATTTTAAATATTAAAGAAGACTATTAGAGAGAGATGGAGGTTTGAGAGGTCCCATTGCATCTAATTGGAGTAAAAGGAGAACTGTGGGAACTCAAGAAAAGCAATACTGGAGGAAAACCTGCAAGGTGCTTTCTAAAACTGAGAAAAGACACAAGTCCCCAGGTCAAAAGTGTATAAAAGTGCCATGGAGGGCTGGGGCTGTAGCTCAGTGGTAGGGCGCTAGCCTGGCATGTGTGAGGCACTGGGTTCGATCTTCAGCATCACAGAAAAATGAAAAGTATTGTGTCCACCTACAACCAAAATATATATATATATACATATAAAAAAAAGTGCCATGTAAAATAAACAAATCTGATTCTCTACTTAGGTACATTTTAATGGAACTGCATAAAACTGAGAATAAAAACAAAAATATTTTTAAATGATCAGAGGGAAAAAGAGATTAAATGTAAATGACAAGAATAATCATATCATCAACACAAGAGAAAAATATTTGTTAAACAATATTATGTGAGAGATAATTTAATTTCTTTAAAGAAAACTGTCTTGGGCTGGGAATGTAGCTTGGTAGACTGCTTGCTAGCATGTGCAAGGCCCTGGTTGCTAGCATGTCAATCCCTAATAATAATAATAATAATAATGTATCTGAATCAAATAAAATGTTAAGATTTGTTAAAGTCCGTGGTAGGTAAATGGATGCTGGTTGCATTATTTCCTATGTTAAAAGATTTTTTTCATTAAACAATAGTTTTTGGTTTTTAAAAAATATTTTTAGTTGTAGGTGGACATAATGCCTTTATTTAGTTTATTTAGTTTTTTTTAATGTGGTGCTGGGGATCAAACCCAGTGCCTCACACATGCTAGGCAAATGCTCTACCACTGAACCACAACCCCAGCCCTAAACAGTAGTTTTTTTAAAAGGTTTCTAGAAGGCTAGGAGTAGAGGTGCCTGCCTATAACCCCAACTACTTGGGAGATAGGCAGGAGGATCACAAGTTGGATACGTGCCTGGGCAACTTAGCAACAGCCTCTCTCAAAACAAAAAATGAAAAGGAATAGGGATATAGCTCAAGGGTAGAGTGTCCCTGGATTTAATTCCCAGTATTGCAAAAATTGAATTTAAATTAAAAAAAAGTTTTTAAAGACACAAGTTGGTATTTCTGAAAAGAGACCATCCAACTCAATAGATGTAAGTGATCCCAGTAAGGAAAACCAATGCAAAATTTATTAAAAAAAAAAAAAAATAGTATCAGAAGCTGGGCACAGTGGCGCACATCTATAATCCCATCTACTCAGGAGGCTGAGGGACGAAGATCACAAATTCAAGGCCAACCTGGGAAACTTAGTGAGACCCTGTATCAAAATAAAACAAAAAGGGCCGGTCATGTAGCTCAGTGGTAGAGTACTTGCGTAGCACATGTAAGACCCTGGATTTGGGATGGGGTTGTGGCTCAACAGTAGCACTACCACCTAGCACATGCAAGGTGCTGGGTTCAATCCTCAACACCACATAAAAATAAATAAGCAAATAAAATGAAGGTATTGTGTGTGTCTGACTATAACTAAAAAAAGTTATTTAAAAAAAAAAAAAGACCCAGGGTTTGGTCCCCAGTAGTGGGGAGAAAGGAAGACCTCAAAGTATAACCAACCCAGACTAAAAAGGTCTACACAAAAGATGGTAAGAGGGGGGTCCATGGTCAAGTTGGTGAAGCATGTGCTAACCTGTACTACTGGGAAAATGCAAACTCAGGATGAGCAGACACTTGTGGAATGATTTATAGATGACAAAAAGCATTGATTTGGACATGAGCAAACCCAAAGAAGACAGATCCATTCTCCAGAAGAGGTAGTGTATGATTAAATTGTAATAGCAAAAACAGAGAATTTGGTTATCTACTTTCTGAGTCAAAAAGTACCATGTAATTCCTCTAGTGGTTTTTAAACTGCCTATCTCAGAACCAGAGATTCCTTGGAGATACTGGATAGTGCCTGGAGGTTGAGAAAGCAGGACTGGAGCCCCTCACCCCTACTTTAATCATAGGCCTTTTATATTCTGAGAGAGAAATACTGATCCTGTGTAAGCCCTCCCACCCCTGCCCTCCATTTTGCAGATTGTCAGTGACCAGGGAAGGTCACAGAGTCAGTGAATGCCAGGGCTTCTGCCATCGGTGCCTCTCTTCTCTGCCTTCAGCGGCTCCAGTAGAAACAACTGAGCAAAAATAGTGAGTCGTCTGCAGCCAGGGAAGGCTAGTAACCAGTTAACTAGTAACTGAGAAAGGCACCATGGCCCAGGAGACACCTGGAAGAATCATATCCTTAGATGCTAAAATATATATATATATGTACAATTTCATCCTACATCATTGGCAATGACTCTTTCTTTTTTTCTTTTCTTTCTTTTTCCCATCTTTCCTTCTTCTATTTGTAGAATTCCTTTTGTTCTCTTTTTCATAAAAATTATTCTATGAGCAGAAAAGCTGAAAGAGTAATAGAGTGAACACTCCGCCTACACAGGTACTAACATTTTGCTGTTTGCTTCTCCCTCCCCAGGATATATTTGGGTTTTGTTTTTATTAAAAAGTAACTAAAAACAAGAATTGTGTTTTCATTGAGAGTAAGTTCAGTATGCATCTCCTACAGGGAGCCACAATACCACTATCACGCTTAAAAAAATTCTCAATAATTCTGTACTGTCATGTAATATCTGAGCCACATTCATATTTCCCTGATTATCCCAAGAATGTCTTTTAGCTAGTTTTGGTTGTCATTGTTATTGTTCTCTCTTGTTTATTTTCCTGTACTGGTATCCATCAAGGTTCCCATTGCATTTGTGTTAAGTAAAGCAAATCTGGAAGTGGATCTGAGTTACTCATTCTCACCACTGTTTCTTCTCCTTTGTGTGTTCCAGGCTGAGACTTTAACAGGCCTCACGGTGGGCAACCCAGAAGAGGCTGGGAAAGCTGCAATGGTACTCCTGGCAAGGGGCTGCAAGGTTGTAATCATCACCTTGGGGGACAAAGGATGTGTGTTGCTGTCCCAGACAGAACCTGTCCCAAAGCACATTCCCACAGAAAAGGTCAAGGCTGTGGATACCACGGTAGGTCTTAAACTTTAAGAATCATTTTGGGCACTTGAAAATCTTCGTTTATTTAATAACTAAGATATTATACCTGAATTTTTTGATAATGGGATATATGCTCAGGAAGTGATGTGGTAGAAGAGAAGAACAACCAGGCAGGAGAACTGTATCTTAACCCCTCTCTAACTCACTGTGGAACTTTATACAAGTCACTAAAACTCTCTGCGCCTCAGTTTCCTTATCCATAAAATCAGACGATCAGTAAAATTATACCTGTATTGCCTATTTTCATTTATTCAATTAATAAATGTTTATTGAATACCACATGCCAGTCATATGCTAGGTGCTCAGCATTAGTAATGAACAGGTGAATTCTATCCTGAAGCTTGGACTCTGGACAGTACACAAATAGCTGTATCTTATAAGTGAGTATAATCCTACATCATTGGCAATGACTGGATAGTGCCTGGAGGATGAGAAAGCCGGGCTGGAGCCCCTCACCCCTACTTTAATCATAGGCCTTAGGTGTTCCAAAGACAGTCTGTGGAATCCACCCGGACATTTTTTGTATAAGACACTGTGGAGGGACAAGTATGCTGAGTGGAAAAGTCATGGCTACAAAGTAGGAATGAAACCAGTTAGAACAAAGATGTATGGTTCCCCTATAGCTACGGAAATAAGAATTGTCTAGTATTAAAATTTAAAAGAGCTGACTTGGAAAAGTAAGTAAATTTAGGGATAAGAAACTAGAGTGGAGGAAAAAGAAAAATGTTAGGGTTTTTATTTGTAAGGAAGTTATATGTGATAATTTATAAAATATGTTCTGAGTTGTTTTTATGCTGAGACACAACTTTAAAATGTGGATCATTTACCCAAAAAAAAAAAAAAAAAAAAAAAGCCTGGGGAAGCAGATGATGTATTAGAAACAAATACACTTAGAAAAATATAAGTACAAGAAATCAATATGAAATTAATGTCCCAGTTGTCTCAAAACATGAGTTTGGGAGGTTGATACACAGAAGTGGCTCAGCCTCTCCTTACAGTGTCTGTGTAAGTCATTACTCCTTTTGGTTGTAAGCAGCAGAAGCACAATCCAAATCCAGGATTTTATTTGTGCACACTGTTGGAAAGTTTGAAGACGCAGCAGGGTATGGAGACTTTTTCATGTGCTATCCCTGTCAGTTCTCCTTTCTTTTTAGTGGCCCTTGAGCTCAGGCAGGTCCTCTCCCAATATGATCCATGGCAGCTCTATGCTGACATCATGTTCCACACCAGTATCAAATACCCCATCCCTGGTATCAAATAAAAATCAAAGAACTCTTATCCGAGGATGGGGAAGTAGATGCTGGTCAGACCAAAGCAATTCATACCTGCCACAATCATGCACAGCACTGCTTGGGCATGGGACTTTGTTAGGAAGTAACTAGACTTGGCAATATTCAAATTCAAATTAATAGTAATAATCCTCAGAGTAATTACATGTGGAAAGTTTGGATTTCATAGATCTTGACTGATTATAGCTTTGAGGATATTAAATGAAGCAATGAGCACTAAGAGGGTTTACAAATTATGATAATACTCTTTGTGCCCTTTCTTTTGGATTCTTAGCACAAGCAGTTACTTTTTAGGTTTCAGGAAATTGAATATATTTAAAGGATAAAGATCCAAAGTCCACATCCGCTTCAGGATAAATGCCCTTTTTTTCTGTGGAAGCAACCTGATGTAGGGGCTCTAAGGCCCAGAAGACTGATGTTCCAGCCCTGCTCCTTCTGAACTCTTGTTCTCACGCTTTGGCAAGTCCAGTCACTTCTATGGGCCTGGAATATCTCTCACCTCTAAAGTGAACCCATCTTGTAAATACTGTAACCCAGAAGGTCAGGGGGGGAAGAAGTAATGTCTAAGTTTTTTGTTGTTGTTGTTGTTTTCTGGCTCTAGGTCTTTGTTCTGGCTAGTTATCTTCATTCATTCCTTCAACAAATACTAATGAGCTTTGGCTACATGTTCACCCCAAAAAGAAAGAAATAGAACGTCCAATGTGTTTGAATATATAGAGAGTGATTTTAGTCTTCTTGCAGAATTTGAAAATGAATTTGTAATTGGTATGTAGAAAATTGAGGAAATAGAAAACATGAGGCAGATTTTTCCTCCTAGGTCATCTGAAATCTAAGGGGGAAAAAGTATGATTAAGTAAAGTAGAATCTTTGTACATCACATGGCTATAAATGCATAAACATAACAATGTAAATGCCAATTACTGATTTAACCAAAAATGAAGATTATAATCATACTGCAAAGAAGGAAGGATAAAATGAGTATGTGTTTTTGTGCACATAAAATAAATGCTCATCTTTCATAGTTGGAAGTCAAGAGATAGTATCTAAAATGGATTTAAAAATAACAGTGGAAGCATAATACAAGAAATATAAGATAAATACCAGAAGAAACCACTGAAAGAATTTTAAGTATGTGTCTTGTGGAAATGGAAATGGAGAGGAATGGAGCATCTATACTTGAGCCTTATCTTTTTAAACTATGTATAGGGGTGGCTTTGATTTTAAAACAAAAAAATAACACACAGTGAGGCTACTTCACACCCACTAGGAAAGCCAAAGTCAAAAACAGACAGTAATAAATGTTATATAAGATTTGGAGAGGGCTGGGGATGTGGCTCAAGCGGTATCGCGCTCGCCTGGCATGCGTGCGACCCGGGTTCGATCCTCAGCACCACATACAAACAAAGATGTTGTCCGCCCAAAACTAAAAAATAAATATTAAAAAATTCCCTCTCTCTCTCTTTCTCTCTCTCTCTCCCCTCTCTCTTTAAAAAAAAAAAAAAAGATTTGGAGAATTCCATTTATATGAACTCTTATACAGTAGTGGTAGAAGTATAAGATAATACAGTCACTTTGGAAAACAGCCCAGAAGTACCTGGAAAAGTAAAATATAGAGAGTTATATGACCCAGCAGTTCTACTTCTTAGATATATACCCAAGAGAAATGAAAACATGTATTCACATAAAGACTTGTACACAAATATTCATAGTAGCATTATTCCAAATTAGAAACAATCCAGTGTTCACCCACACATGAATGGATAAACAAATTGTGATATAGCTATACAATGGAATATTACTGACAATTAAAAGGAATACCTAACATGTGTTGTGAAAAAAATAAACTTTCAAAGCGTAATGCTAAGTGAAATCTGACACAAAGGTCACATATTATATGATTCCACTTATATGAAATTCCCCAAATAGGTAAAGCCCAGAGATGGGTGGTTTCTGGGCTAGAGGAGGGAATGGGGAGATACTGCTTAATGGGTAAGGGGTTTTACTCTGGAGTGATGGGAAGATTTTAAAACATATAGAAGTTGTACCACATTGTGAATGTGCCAGATGCCACTGTCTAAGTGGCTAAATTATTAGATAATAAGTTATTATCTTTAAAGGGATAAAGTACTAATTCATGCTATGGCATGGATGAATCTTGAAAACCTCATGATAAGTGGGGAAAACAGGCGTAAGAGGCCACATGCAGTATGATTCCATTTATATGAACTATCCAGAATAGGCAAATCCATAGAAAGAGAAAGTAAACTGAAGCTAGAGAGGTTGGGGGAGTGACTTATTAATGGGTAAGGGTTCCTTTCTGTGGTGATAAAAAATGCTCTGCAATTACTGTGATGGTTGAACAGTCTCGTGGCATGCTAAAAACTCTCAAGTATACATGTTTAGAGAGCATGTTTTATGATATATGAATGATGTCTCAATTTAGAAAAAAATAAAGTCAAGTAATAATAAACAACCAGAAAGCTCCAGGTGCTCCGTTAATGAAAATATTCTCCTGATAGAGGGTCTTCCTCTCTTCCTGTGAACTGCTCTGCAGAACCTGCCAAATGGGCTCCCAGCTTCCTCCCCAGTGGAGCAGAGGTGACACTGACAGGAAACCAGCGTGGTCACTTCCTGGCTCTAGAATCTCCCTCATCTGTTTCTGTGCTCTCCTGTCCCCCTGTCCAGCACTCTCCCTACTGCAGCTCCCGCAGGCTGCACACAGCTTTATGCCTGCCCATGAACTTCATTAGGAGGCGCTGCAGTGGGTGGTGCACTCCCAGGGGGAGGGGTTTCCTTCCCAACAAATGGGCTCCTTCACTTTGCAGTCAGGAGAATATCACTTGCTGCAGTCAGTTTGTGACCTTCTCGCTTGTCTCCTCCTCCTCATCCCTTCTGAAGACGTCAGGGATGACACGGATGGAGAGAACATCATTAGTTCGTTGGCACATTGTCCACTCGAGACAGCCTGCCCCAGAAGAAGCTGTTCCCCATTTTACGTCAGTGCTGCTGCAGGCTGCTATATTCAGTTTTGCTTCACTGTTAATAGTTGAATATATCACTTCTATTTTTACATCTGTTTTTGCCGTTGTGCTACAGTGAGATGATGGCAGAAGCTGCAGATGTCCTCAGCTCATTTTGGAAGACATGACAGATGTATCTCCTTTCCCATTTCTATATGTTATCTGGATCTTAGCCTCAAAGTGACAGGGTGTTCATGTCCTCACTCTGTTCTTTCTAACCTAAAGGCTTTACCTTCTTGTATTTGGGATTATACTGGATGTACATTCTGTATGCATTACCATACAGACTTAGGCATGGTAATAATATTTTAGGATTATCATGGTAGTATAATATAGTATTAGTTATATTGCCCTATAAGCTCTGTAAAATTCATGATATATAAATTGCTTTTCTATATGTAAATGGCTAAGTCCTAGGATCTACAATAACACTGTCCTTTCAAGAATTCAACCCATATGCTAAATCTGCCTTCTCAAGTGTTGCTTGCTTTATAGTAATGCAACATAATTCAGGATATATAAATAAGCTGAAAGTAAACAAAAGCTAGGAGCTTTGGGGATTCATCTTCCCTATTTATTTACCTGTCTTTCTATCCATTACATTTGAGTCCTGTAGTATTCAGAATTGCTGGTGAGGCTCTAGGAACATCAGCTGAGCTGCCTGGTTGCCTCCGAGGACTAGTCAGGGTTGAGAATTTGCTTTAGAGATTCCACCAGTAGGAAGTGGAGACAGTTTCTGTTGAAGTTGTGGGAAAGCACTTTATGAGATGATCACAGGTTGGCAGGTTACCTACAGATTTCCAAGTTAGTTCCTTTTTGGTGTATTCCCTGGGGTCTGGCCTTTGGCCATCTAGGCTGCTCTTAAGGGTAGATTCCCAAGGATGCACCTCTTAGTAACAATTAGTAACAATTTAGTCTGTGAAAGCCCAACATCTGAGGGGTCACTATTCCCATCATTTTTTTTTTCCCAGTACTGGGGGTTGAACCTAGTACTGGGCTTCATACATGCTAGGCAAAGGCTCAACCACTCAGCTACAGTACCAGGCCTTGTTTCATTTTTATTTTAAGACAGGGCCTCACTAAGTTGCCCAGGCCACCTTGAATTTGTGATCCTCCTCCCTCAGCTTCTCAAATTGCTGGGATCACATGTGCCAACATGCCTGGCTCATTATTCCCATCTCAGTGTAACCTTTCTCCTACCCTGCACCCGTGCCACTAGTGCTAGTGGAAGGTCAAACTGGTATTGCCTCATGTAATAAGAACTGATAACCTTAAGTGATCTTAGGAGGTGTTTCCCAACCCAGGGAATTGGGGGCATTCCTGTCTGCTGGGAGGACTATTTAATTCCATATTAAATAGTATTTAACTCTGAGATCTCACATGGGCACTGTGTCTCCCCAGCAGACCACATTTCCTCCCTCTTACTTCCTTCTTTCTGATCAGCATGCACTTTCTTTGCATTTGTTAATAATGAATAGGGTTTTGAAGGCTGCTGGTGACTCAGAAGCCATTTTGTCTTTGTGTAGAGCCTGTGCACATTTTTGTCCAGAAACTTGGCAAGATGTTTGGGTGTCCCTCACTGTTGATCACTGATACTTGGGGGGGAGAATAAAATGACATGGGTAAACAATGATAGAATCTTGGATGTGAATAGGTAACTACAAGTAGTAAGGCTAATTTTTAGCTGCCATATCAATTTTTTGTCAAAGAAGTAACTATTGTTACATTAGAATACTTACTCCATCGATACCACCTCACTCAAAGTTTCTTAATAAATCTGCATTTACAATTGTCATGAAAAGCTTCACCATTTCCTTTAGCACACTAATTGCTTTGTTGAAATTTTTTTTTTTTTTTGCTTGTGCAATTAATGTATTCTTGTGTTCAAGGGAGGAAAGGAAACACATGCACAAAAGAGATAAAGAGGAAAGTCGTATATGAATCCATTTCTGTTTACTATCCTAGATCTGGAGCCCCAGGTTTCTGTGCTACACAGGAGCTGAAAAAGACTATAGGGGGGAACACTAAGCAGGAAAGCCAAGAAATGGAACTATTGACATTAAGGGGTGTGGCCATTGATTTTTCTGAAGAGAAATGGAAATGCCTGGACCCTTCAGCAGACTTTATATGGAGATGTGATGTTAGAGATCTATAGAAACCTAGTCTTTATTGGTATGGCTTCTAATCAAAACCAAGAATTTTCAGAAGAGCAAGAAATAAAATATTTTTTGCAAAACTTGATAAAGAGAAGGTATGGAAACCAAGACAGTTAATATTTGGTTTTAAACAAGGAATATAAATTGAAAGAGAGGGAACTTCAGAAAATTTGTCTTAATGAAGGAAAAAAACCTGAAAATTATTTATAGAGAAAATTATGGAATCATCAGGTTATATTATTACAAATATCTCAGAAGACTCACTGCTTAACTTGTGCAAGTCACTTTTTGTTTGGTTAAAACTTTTAATTGCATTATCGTAATTGTAAAATTTTTACTACTCAGTATTTGTGTAAAACCACTTACAATACAGAATATTTTCAAATGCAAAAAACGTATCAAACTACATATACATGTGATGTTTACAGGGCATTATGAAACTGTATCTTAGATAGAAACACCTTCAGGAAAATAAAGATTCAACCAATTTGCTCATCTCTAGAAATATGATTAGAATAGAAATAGGCATTTTAATGAAAGAAATTAAAACAGTAATAAGGTGCTTATTAATCAAAAAAAAAAAAGAGGAAAGTCATATAATCAGGTCCTATCTCTTAGATGTAATCATTGTTAACCTTTTGGTTTAAATCCTTCCTTTTTTTTTTCTATGCACTTCCACTTGTCATTTAATGTCTACTAACAACAGATTTGGATATTTACAACATTAAGGGATTAATGTATGTTATTACAAAAAGCTGTTACAACTCAAAAAAATCAAATATTTCTCTAGAGTAATATAAATAGTCAATTCACAGAAAAATCAATATAAAATTGTAAAGAAATGAGGCCAGCTGAACTATTAAAAATCAGGAATATACAAATTAAAATAACAGTGAGATCCACTTTAATGCCCAAAAGGTTGGCAAAAATTAAAGGCTAAACCAGCACCTTCCTGTAATCTCAGTGACTCAGGAGGCCGAGGCAGGAGGATCATAAGTTTAAGACCCACCTGAGTAATTAAGCAAAACCCTATCTCAAAATCAAAAATAAAAAGAACTAGGGATGAAGCTCAGTGGTAAAGTGCCTCCAGGTTCAATCTAGTACAAAAAAATAAACAAGAAAATAGAAATTTAAAAGTCAAAGATTGATAATGTCAAATTGCAAATAGATCAAAAACACATACTTTCATATCATATATTCTAATGCAAATATAAGTCCAGAAAGCAGTTTGTTTCCAGAAAGCAATTTGAGAATATAATTTTTTTAAATATATTTTCCCTTTGACCTAGTACATCCCCTTTTAAGAGATCATACAGATATGTTCACATATACAAATATTTACTTAAGAATGTTGGTTTCAACTTTGTAATAAAGGAAAAACTGAGAAGATAGGTCTACATTATCATCAGTGTGAGAAGGTTAAATATTCATAGTATGGTGCCATTTATTTAAAAGCAACTCTCCAGATATCTAAAAGTAAATGCATATTTTAAAATCTAGAACAAACCTCACTGAACTGTTTTGATCATTTTTCATGGGAAGGGGAATAATTTGGTGGGAAGAAAAGATAAAGGAGGACTTCTGCTTTCTATGAGTTTTTCTATAAGCCTGTATTTCTCATGTATTACTTTGTAACTTGGAATAAATATGACTTTGGGACATAGCCAAACAAGATGGGTGAGATCATTTCTCCAAGTGTGTGCTGAGCATTATCTTCACAAATTATCTTCACAAAGGAGCTAGTTACTGGTCACAGTTTATTCCTGGTCTCACAAGGAACCTCTCAAGCATTCCAAAACCTCTCTGTGATTGGACTGAGTAGCCCTTTGACTTAGGACAACTTACAATGGAAAGACTCCTGATACCAAAAAAACTGATCTGCATTACCTTCATCCTCAGGACCCTGGAGGCTTCTTAAATCTGGATATTTCACTACATACTTGACAGTTTTTTTTCCCCTTAATCTTTCTAAAGAAAGACGTTTCCTCAAAAATATGTTACTATATACAGTTCCCCTTGGAAATATCAGAATAAATGTCAGAGCTTCACTGTTTCTGTTCATCATTCAGATGTATGACTGATCTTCAGAGAAACTTTCCTCATATTCAAATTTTCCTTCTGAATGAATCTACTTATATACCTCAGTTTAACTCTTCAACTCGCATTCTCACAATTAATAATATATTGAACCATCTGAACTTTGGCTTTTGCCACACCTCTTGGATTTGATTAATAGGTAACCAGGAGGAGTTGATAAGGGGATCAGCCCAGAGATGATGCCTCATTTTTAAGTACTTAAATTTTAGGTACTTTTGTTTTGTTTTGTTTTTTGGGTATCAGGAATTAAACCCAGGGTCACTTTATCACTGAGCCATATCCCAGTCCTTTTTTATATTTTATTTAGAGACAGGGTGTCTAAGTTGCTTAGGGCCTTGCTAAATTGCTGAGGCTGGCTTTGATCCGGTGCTCCTTCCTGCCTCAGCCTCCCAAGCAGCTGGGATGACAGGTGTGCGCCACCATGCCCAGCATTCGGTACCTCATGTTTAGGCACCTAATAGTACATCTGCTTCACCTTTCAGCTCCCTCCTATTTGAAACAGTCCTGAGTGGAATGGCTGTGGAGGGAGGGAGAACACAAGACACAATGCTATAGACTAAATTGTGCCCCCACCAAAATCCACTTGTTGAAGTCCTGTCTCCAGTGTGACTGTATGCAGAGATAGGGGCTAGACACAGGTAATTAAGGTTGAATGCGGTCATAGGGTGGCATCCTGGTCCGGTAAACACATGTGAAAAATAAACAATTAAGTCATGTGAGCACAGAGCAAGACAAGAGAAGAGGCCTCAGAATGAGCACTCTGATCTTGGACTTACCAGCCTCCAGGGCTGTGAGGGAAAAAGGTACTGTCGTTTAAGCCACTTAAGAATAGCATTTTGTTTTGGCAGCTCTAGCAGACTAATGCACAAATGGAAGCAAGTAAACCCATTTGGAAGTGACTAATGTGAATGCTGGAAAATCACCTATCCTGTAAGGAGAAAACAATCGGAGGGACACCAACAGGATCAGCCTAGTCACCTTTTTAGTTAAATGTCTCAAGGGTTTGAAATGGTTCAGCTGTAATTATCAGCCCTGTGGCTAAGGACAGATGGTGTCCTGAGTGCTAATCCTGACTTAGACATTAACCAGCCAGGTTGCTTTTGGCAAATGACTTTTTATGTTTGCCTCCAAACGTGACTTCTCTGGAGTGGGTGACCTCTAAAATTCCTTCATCCTTGGAACACAAGGACTCTTTGGGCTGATAATAAAAGCTGGGTACTACTTGCCAGAAATTAGGCTGGACTCTCAGGCATTTCCTCCCATTCTCAGAACAACCCTGCAAGATGGGCTCTTGCCTGTTTTAGAGAGGAAGAAACTGACTCCTGGTTATATGACCTGCCTGGGGACATACAATTGGTGAGTGGCAGAGCCAGGGTTGATTTTAGGTCTACCTGTCTGTCTGACTGACTCCAACTGCCATGTACTTTCTACCTCACTGCTCTGCTTCTTGATTTGGTGACAGTCTGCCTAGCCTTCACACTCTCTCTGATTTGACATTCCAGCACTGAGTTTCTTGTCACTTGTCATGATACAGGCTTCTATAATTGCTCCTTTTCTCTAGATCTTCAGAAGCTGCCAGATCTTGAAAAGGCCTTGCTTACTTTGTACGGTACCCTGTGAACTCACTTAAATAATCCACGCATACCCTGAGAACAGTGCCTGGCTCACGTAAGCACTCAGTAAATGTTAGCTCATCAGTGTGTCTTGCGATATCTCATTATTTATTTTATGTGGACCATTTGGAGTTACTAGATAACTTGTACCAGGAACTTGCTCCACCCACTGTCTGGCAGAATGGACATTACCTGAGCCAGAGAACACTCAGGTCCCATCACCATTCCACTCCAGCCTCTCTCTCCACAGGGAAAGGGCTGGAATACCTGGGAGTGGTGTGGCAGGATTGTGCCCATTCCAGAGAGCAAAGACTCTGGCACAATTCACATCCATTTGTTTTCTCTCTCTTTTTTTTTTTTTTTTTTAATTAGGTACATCAATGGATGACAGGACTCATTTGGTTTTTGTTTTGTTTTGTTAAATATTAATTTTTTCAGTGGTAGTTGGACACAATACCTTTATTTTATTTATTTATTTTTCTGTGGTGCTGAGGATCAAACCCAGGACCTCACACGTGCTTGGCAAGCGCTCTACCCCTGAGCCACAACCCCGGCCCAGGACTCATTTGTTTTATTTATGTATTTTAATTGTTTGTGGTGCTGGGGGTCAAACCCAGGGCTTTAAGCTTGCTAGGGAAGCCCTCTACTTGTGAGCCCCAGCCCCTCCATTCATTCTTGTCACTGGATGAGAGAGAGAGACACTACTTTGAAAGACTATAATCAAATAATCTTTTCACTAAACTTCTTTAATTAGGAACCTGAACTGCTAACTATAAAGCCTAGTGACAATGTGATTCCTCTTTTTTAACATTTCCAAACTAGCTTTCTAATTGGGGGAGGGGGGCGGGGGGGATACTCACACTGCCCTGTCTAGCAAACTCTTACCCATCCTCAAAGCCTAGCCTGGAGAGTCTTTTGGGGAAATTCAGTGCTGAAAACAATGCTTAGTCTACAATAATGGCTCTCTGTAAATAAAGAAAGAGTTCTATTTCCTTCTGGGAAAATAACTAGTCTGAGCACAAGAGTCACTTTTCAGTTTTCTCAGTGGATTAGAATCTTCAGGGCTGTTTACATTCCTCACATTCCACATTTAAGATGCCTAGAGAAAGAAGAATCTGAGGTACAAACACTCTTTTTAAGTGATTTGAAAATGAAGTAATTCTCCCCCATTTTCCATTTGAAAACATATCTTCAGATTGTTTTACCTGCAGTTTTATAAAGGCCAGGCCAAAAGAAGAAGAAGAAGTTAGCGAAAATGAATGACACCTCTGAACTTGGCATCAGAGAACAAAGAAAACTCAACTGAGGTTCTGGAATAGCCCTCCCAGCCCTGGGAATAATATCATAAAACTCTGTGCGAACTCTGCACACACTGGCTGCCAGAAAAGATGAAGAAGGCAAAGAGAAGTTCACTGACTGTAAAGAAAGGGTGGAGGACAAGGTAATTGCCAAGGAGGCGATAGACAAGGCACAAGACATCTGCCATGCCCAGGGGGCCGTGCTGGCTCTATTACATTACTTCCACATCAGCACATCACCTCATTTATTAGCTAATCAGGCAGAATTCAATATTTGAAATTATCTTTCTTATTCCTGCATGTGATCAGTTGAAAACCCAGGGCTCTAAAAATCTAATTGTAATTGCTTACCAGAAATGTCATCTTCACTTGGAAGAATTGAACCAAGGCCAAATGTGAGGGTATTTTTTTTTCTGTTTTCCCAAAGTACTGTCCCCCAGGACTGGATATGCATTTACAGGTCCCCAGTACCCTACATTCTAGGGCTCCCTGAAGAGATGTGGGCACTGGTCCTACTTCCAGACTCAGATATGACATAAAACTAAAGGTAGTGTGTGGCCATGGAGAAGGGGGCATGGAAGGGAAGGAACAATAATTTAAGCCTTAGCAAAAGTCAAGAGAGAAACATCTGAATCTAGATAAGAGTTGGGCCTGGGCAGGAAGTAGTCCCTCTGCCCAACAGGAAGGGAAGGCATGATGTGGCAGAGCTTGCTTGCTCATCCATGATCGGGCTTTTTTTCTTCGCACCCTACACCTCAGCCCCACTTCTCAGTGTGACAGCGTGGCAGTGAGCCTTTGGTCAGCTCCTTGCCTGTTTTCCTAGGCTGCTCAAGTGGTCTTCCCGAGACAGACCTGCAGGACTCTGCTGTAGGTCTTCCAAGTGTCTTCCACAGAGTGGGTGTCTCCTGGGGAAACCTGAAACTATGAGGAGATGAGAAAATTACCTGGAATCCAACTGTCCCCTTGGCCCCAGTGCCCATCACTGCTGGTGGAAGTAGGCAAGGGAATGGAAGAATGGTATGTGGCTCACAGCCTGCTGGACATCAGCCTGCCCTTTGTATGAACCTAGCGGTGCAGGTTGTAGGCTGGTGACGTGCACTTTGTGTGTTAATTGTCCTGATGACATGTGCTGTGTTTGAATGACCTGTTAGTGGCACAAATACCTTGTGTGTGTGTTTGTGGTGGTTTGTATGTGCACAGAATACAGTGGAATAGAGTTAAAAGCTTAAATCTTTAAAGCGAGTCTCTCTTGCTTTCCTCGTACTACTTCTATTCCTTTCAAAATATATAAAGAAAAGTGCTTTATACAATGGTCCACCCCTGAAAAGGGTATTTGATTTGGGAATAAAAGGAGTCCAGAGTATATCTTCCCTGAGAGATTCTCTAAAAATTAAAATCTTTATATTCCTTTCTTCTCTTGGTCAAAACAAACCAAAACTGGAAAAAAGAAAGACTATGTTTATAACTACTAAATAACTTTCCTGTTCCTAGTTAGAAAAATCCTCCTTCTCTATTTGTCCTTCTCTGTATTAACTTTTAGTGTTAGAATTTAGAAATCTAATCATTTAGACCTCATTATAAGTGACTATAATTTGCTTCAAATACATATATTTACTGCTTGCCTCACTAGTCCCAAAGAACCAGCTTCTGTAGGAACCTTGACTGTAGCATCTCACTCTGCTTGAAACCCACCTCTGTCTGTCCATGAGCATTAAAACCCAAGCCTTAAGATTATAAAGACCACAACCCCCCAGGACAGCCATAGTTCATGCACTTAGCTTTCTGCCTCTTGGTTCCATATTTGGTTTTGGATTCTGGAAAAATCCTCTAGTTAGGCATAGTTACAGTGATGAGGTTTCTGTTTCATCCTGGGCATCTGGAGGGTTTTCAGGTCTCTAGGCCACAACGTTGCTTGAAAGAGGAGGTTAAGTGGGGTCTCATCGCATCCAATGACCACAGACAGGATTCTTGGGCTGCCTGTCATCTTATTCTCAGAGCATTATGGGAGTTCCAGGATTCATTTAACAAAATGTGCCTCTAGAGCTGGAAACAGTTCTTTAAGAAATGGAAACTTCCTGAGGTTGTGGCTCAGCAGTAGAGCATTCGCCTAGCACATGCAGGGGCCCTGGGTTCGATCCTCAGCACCACATAGAAATAAATAAACAAAACAGAGGTATTTGTCCATCTATAACTAAAAATATATATTTTTTTAAAAAAGGGAAAAAAAAGAAGTGTGTCACATTAGATTGGGTAGAGAGATGTGATGGGAGGGGAAGGGGGGATAGGAAGGGCAGCAGAATAAAATAGGCATTATTATTGCTGTATGTTTATAGGTGACTGTATAACCAATGTGATTCTGCAACTTGTACAATCAGAAAAATGAGAAATTATACTCCATTTGATTCAAATGTATGAATTGTCAAGATCATTGTATTGCCATGTGTAACTAATAAAAAAAATTCATCAAACAGATTAAAAAAAAAATAAAAAAAAAGAAATGGAAACTTCCTCAAGATACTGAGGCAGGAAGATTGTAAGTTAAGACCAGCTTAGGCAATTTAGCAAGACTCTTAAAATAAGGGCTGGGCCTGTAGCTCAATGGTAGAGCACTTGCCTGACATGTGCCAGGCACTGGGTTCAATTCCCAGTAATGCGAACAGAGAGAAAAGAAATAAAAGAAAAGGAAAAGGGTTGGTGGGGGGTATGAAATGAGAAGTTCCTCTATAGGAAAGTATGGCAATCTGGTGATGAGCTCCTACTATGAACCCATTTATTCGGCTCACTTTGAAATTTCTGCACGCCACACGTGGGACACAGGCTGGTGTAACAGGTGTAGTAAGATAGCCCCTGGCCACAGAGAGCTTGGAACCTAGAAGACTATGCAGCCCACAGGGTCAGAATGAGAAGTGCAGAGGCGGGGATGCCCCTGGGTGCTGTGGTAGCCCAGGGAAGCTGCTTGAGAGGGGAAAGGAAGGGGTGGGCAGAGGGATATGCCAGAGGCAGCTTGGTAGGGGGTAGCCGGGAAGAGTGGTAGCAGCTCATCACACACCTGGAAGGTAGGAGGAGCTCTAACTGGAATGAGTTCAGGATACAAGAAAAAAATGCAGGAGCTGTGGTGGTTGTGGCTCAGTGGTAGTGCACTTGACTCGCATGTGTGACTCACTGGGTTTGAGTGTCAGCACTGAATATAAATAAATGAATAAAATAAAGTTCCACCAACAACTAAAAAAAAAATTTTTTTAAATGCAGAAGGGTGAGGTGGAGAGGGGACAGGGATGGGTTGTGAAGCCTTCACTCCACACATCCTCCACACTAGGGGTTAATGCTTTCTTCTAAGGGCAGGGGGAACCACTGAAGATTTTAAGCAGGGGATAGATTGGGTCCTACTTAAACTTCATATAAAGATTAATGTGGCTGTAGCATAAAGAAGAAATTGGAAATTATGAGACTGGAGGCAGGGAAAACAGGCCAGAGGCTTCAGTATTGATCTGGGTAGGAAATGATGGCAGCCTAGACTGGAGAAGCGGCAATGGGCATGTTGAGCAGAGGGTATGAGAGCTCTTAAGAATTTAGAAGATGCACAGTAGTTCATTTCCTTTAAAAAAAAAAAAGTGGGAGGAGGGAGACTAAGTTAGGTGGTCATTTCATGTTCAAAACAAACATTCTGGGGGCTGGGATGGGGCTCAGTGGTAGAGCGCTTGCCTTGCACGTGTGAGGCCCTGGGTTCCATCCTCAGCACCACATAAAAATAAATAAATAAAATAAAGGTATTGTGTTATGTACAACTAAAAAAAATTTAAAAAACAAATAAATATTCTGGCAGTCTCAGTGTTTTTCCACGTTTTTGTTTTGGGGGGGCTGAGGAGAGGAAGTGGGTACCAGGGATTGAAGTCAGGGACACTCAAACACTAAGTCACATCCCCAGCCATATTTTGTATTTTATTTACAGATAGGGTCTCACTGAGTTGCTTGGCAGCCTTGCTTTTGCTGAGGCTGGCTTTGAACTCATGATCCTCCTGTCTCAGCCTCCTGAACCACTGTTTCCATTGTGAGTATCATCAGTGGTTGCAGGTAGCACAGGGAGATACCCATATATTTTACAAAAGATAAAAATCTCAGGCAATTTCCACATGCCTTTCCACTGGGCATATATATATACATGCCTCCCCATTTGGGGGAATCACTCATCTGCATAACAGACAAGAATTTGGAGCAGAAATATAGCTTTCATTTCAAGTAAGTAACAATCTAGGCATGGTGGCACACACCTGTAACCCCCGAGGTTGGGAAGGCTGAGACAGGAGGATTGAGTTCAAAGCCAGCCTCAGAAACTTAGCAAGGACCTAAAGGCCTAAAATTACAAAAGGGCTAGGGATGTGGCTCAGTGGTTCAGCATCCCTCAGTTCAATCCCCAGTGCAAGCAAGCAAGCAAGCAAATAAATAAATAAATACATACATACATACATACATACATACATAAAGTGATAACATTTGAAGGAAGCTTTTGCAGTGTGACGCAGTTCAGATACTGTGCCGTACCACACACGCTTTAGATGCTAGCTTACTGTCAATAGAAACATGGCCTCACGTAACTATGCTTCCTTCCCGATGAAGTGACAGATTGGCCAGCATGTGATGAATTTGGGTTGTGTAGATAAAAATACCAGGTGTGCCAGCCAAGGCATACAGTTTGCTGTAAATCACCCACATCAACTTTCAGGACAGTTAGAGTCACAGAACAATTGCTCAGTTCCTTCCTTCATTTTCACAGTGTGGACCTGGCTCCAGACCCAAGAGTGAAGCAGCAACTTTAAGAAAGCAGAAACATTAATAATAACCCAAAGAACCCTTTTATAATAGCAACTGCCTGCTGATTTTGTGGCCTAACAGCTCAAGCAGAAAAGGATATAAATACAATATTGTGCAATGACTAATTACTCAAAACTCTGTGCATCAGCAGAAGTGGAACCTGCGGTTGGTGCTAATGTTATCAAATGCCTTTGCTGTTTAATAATCTGTAGCTTTATATTATCTAGCATGGAATTTTCACAGAAAACAATGATTGTATTTCAAGTACCTCTCACTGAAATTAAAAAGCAGCTGTTAAAAGATGAACATTTGGCAGAAGATGTTCTAGCAAATCTTGTAAGATACTAAATCATATGGGATTAACTATTTTCTGTCTAAAGAGTGGAGTCACAAAGAAAAAAGATTGCTGACCACAGAAGGCAAGGCCAGTCTTTAGAACAAGTGAATCACTAACAGACCTTTTAGTTTTAAGTGCCATTTATTCACCGATATATTAAGTTATTTATACACAAAGCTTTCATTAATGTTGCCTGAAGAATGGGCCCTTTTTTATTCCATTTTTAGCTCATACTCAAGATTCCATTTCTCTTTCATTAATTATAGAATAAATTAATCCGCCACAGACATTTTGGGCAGAATGGGGGTTTGAGACAGTTTTCAGTCTCCAGGGGCCATCTTCCTCTATGGCTAGCCATACAGCAGAGAGTAAGGGCTGTGGCTGAGGGCAGCGCCTGCCAGCACTGCCACTCAGGCCCTGCCTGGGAACCTGAGGAGGCAGAGTATGTGTGGCCTACCCACTCCAGGTTCACAGTGTCCCACAAATGTTCTTTGAGCTGGCCAACCACTGGCCCAACTAGGAATGAACCAGTGAGGAAGTGACATCATGACACAGTTGCTGGGCATAGCCCGTTTCAGCTTTAATGTTTTATTGACAGGGAGGTTTTTACATTGCTAATATAATTGTAAGTAAAACATGAAATGCTCCTTTTTAAAATTATCAGGCAGCATGTAAACAGCTTTTCCTCAGTTCCTATTCCTGGAATAGAGTGGGTGATGGGTGGAATTTTTAAATGGAGGGAGGACTCAGAGATAACTGAGGATGGCTTACAGTGGGGAACCCAGGCTTGGCTGAGGGGAAATGAAGTGAAGAAAGGAGTTGACTCAGGCATGTCTGCTTTGCATATCATTCAGTGATAGGAGACAGTGCGTCTGCCTTTTTATGAAGTCGTTAGGATTCAAGTGTTAGCTCAAAACAGCTTCATCACAACACTCTACATCAGTGCTGGTGTGACTGACCAGCTCAGAGGCCATCACCAGCTGATGAAGCTGAGAGTGGACCTGAGTGGACATAGGCAGGCCCAGATGGAGCCAGCAAATGGCCTCTGTCAGTATGAACCATTGGCTAACTTGGATCAGGAGCCATTTCACCAACAGTGGGGCCAGATCTCTGATGCAGTCAACACCACAGCCACGTGCCCCATGTGTGAAGTGTGAGGTGGCCAAACACACTGTATCCAACAGGAAGTTTTTTTGTCTTTGTTTCAATTTTAGATTAAATCCCAGTGGGGCGATTATTGTGATTACCTGTACTCTTGCAAATGGTTACTAAATACTAGTAGGGCACTAATACATGAGAATCTGGAAGCTCTGGGATGAAGGTTGGCAGAGTTTTTCTTGTTCTACAGTAGTTGAAATTTAATCAATATATTGAAAATGGAAAGGCCACTGTCATTTTTAATACCACTTACAGTCTCTGTGGGCAGTGAAATGGTGCCCTGAACATACCTCAGCCCCACCTTACTTTGATTTTACACTTGACCTCCCATTGATCCTTCTCTGTTCTCATCTATCTAAATGAAAGAATACTTTAGCCCCATAAACCTCATTCTGGATAGAAATACATAATTCAAGAGGAATACTGATGTCAAAGAAGAAAAGGCACACCAATTTGTGTCAGCATTTGCTGTAAATTAAAGAGGAGTACAAGGAGAGTTTAATGTAATGTAGAGTTGAAATTAAAATAGAACCAATATTTAGGCATTCCTCCGCCTCTTATTTCCCTGCTGTGACATGAAAGATTGACTTTCTCCCAGCCTAAGTATTAATGTATTTCATTTTTTTCTTTTCCACTGGGATTTTTTCCCCATAAAATGTTACATGTTTATCAATGGCATCTGAATTTGAACTTTTTCACTGGTTCCATTCTTAATCACAACAGCAAAAGCCAGGGGAGAAAAGAGTTGGTTTCCCGTCATGCTCCACTCCCTTCATGTTTGCAGTCGAGGAAGGACCTCTGCCTGCTTATCTGCTGTCATGAGCTGTTGATTCCCCTGGATACTGATTCTCTAATGTGTCGCTTCCATGGTGTCTTTTTCCAAAGCTGGAAAATCAAAAATAGATATGAACAATGTACTGTTGTGTATGGTTCACAGGAACCCTTTGGCACGAATCCACCAGTGTCCTTCCCTGTAAAGCAGTCCCGGGAGCTTCACATTTAGTTCTATCCAGCTGCCTTTGTTCAGAACCTGTTTGAAGCTCCTTATTCAGGTTTCCACCAGGGCTAGTTTTGCTCCTTACAGTTGCCTATTGTTTGGGGTCAGTGGTGGACTCCCTAGCTTGATTCTACATCACTAGACTTGGTTTCAAGTGATTCAGTCTTTCCAGAAATAAATTACTCTGGAGAGTGGTTCTCAAAGTGTGGCCCCTGACACCCCAGAATAGCAGCATCTGTATCACCTGAGAATTCATTAGAAGTGCAATTCCTGGGCCCCACATTAGATTTAATAGATCAGAAAGGCTGGGAGTGGAGCCCAGAAGCCTGTGTTAACTAACAAGCTATCCACGCAATTCTGACCTCTCTGCTCAAGTTTGAGAAACTCTGGTTTAGAAGATATGTTTGCTTCCAGGAAGGATTTTCAAAGATATGCTACAATTTTTGATAGTATTCCAAAAAAGTTTCAAAATATTTTTTGGCAAAGATGGAAGACATGTTTATGGCCTCCCCAGAGGACAGTTAATGGGACTGTGCTTCCACCAAAGGCACCCTAATTGTGCCATCTCACCATGTCTTCAAGCCATTTCTTACACTTGATTTCTCATCTGGAAAATGAAAGATTCACCCTTCTACCTCACAGGATTGTAATGAGATTCAAATTGAATCACATCTGCAAACATGCCCGGTAAACCAGAAAGTGCTCTGTAAACGTGAAAGTCAAATCACTCTGCAGGCAGTATTCTGTGGTGCCAGCATCACATTCAAGGATGTGAGTGGGAAAAGGCCTGTCAGCCAGATCCACCTTTCTGTCTCCATAGTGTCCTGGACATGATGGGTCTCAGATTCGGCCATTTCAGCTCAGCAGTTGAGAGAAAACCTTTGCCTGAGTAGTGACTGCAAGAGGCTAGGAAATATAGCCATGATCAGACATGTTGTTTTCTCTGAGTCTCAGGAAAGCTCTGAGGATCAGTGAGGGCAGACAGTGTTGTGTGAATGCTGAGGCTCTCGTGCCCAATACATGGCTCATAGCAGCCCTGGAATGGTCTCTCCAGAAACCATCTACTACAGGGCTGTTCAAGGGAATCTTGACCTTTAAGAAGGAAGTTTATTGCTACACATTAATCATTACAGAAAACTGAAAAGAAAATCCTCGGGCCAACCAAATCTATAGAACTGAGATTTATAAACCAGACCAGTTAATGTGTCAGGGAAGAATGTGGGTTGATTTTTACCTCAGAGATTAGCTTTTACAAACAATTTCACCATAGGAATTGTTAAACAGCAAGCTCCTGATGCATTTATAATTTAATTTGAAAACTTTGGTGAACACTTCTGAGCAAGAAGGAAGCTAAGCCTGTTGCCTCGGTGCTTATTAGGAATGAAGTTTCAGTAACACGGAGCAGTTCCCACTGGGCCAGTATCAGCTTCACTTTTCACACAAAGTGCCAGCTAAAATCAAGAGATTAGGTATGAATATAATTGGTTAATTAGGGTTAAATTATTGGTTAATTGTGGCATAGTATGCTATTGGTTAACTCTAGAATTAAAATATGAAATGATTTTACTCAAAAATGTATGTCTATTTAACAACTCTGTAGAGACAACAGGTAGATTAGTGGTTGCTAGGCTGGGAGTAGAGGGAAGAATGAAGGACCATGAGGTTTCTTTTAGGGGGGATGAAAATTTCTAAAATAGATTGTGGTGATGGTTGCTCAACCCTGTGACTGTACTAAAAACACCGAATTGTATGCTTTAAGCGGATGACTTGTATGGTCTGAATTATATCTCCAACCTGTCTTTTTGGAGGGAGCTGGGGATGTAGCTCAGTGGTACAGCATGTGTTTGGCATGCACAAGGCTGTGGGTTCAATCCCTGGAACTGGCAGCAACAATAACAAAAAACCTAATAACCAGTAAATTGTATAGCAAGGAAAAAAAATTATGCGTACTGAAAAGACAAATGAAAATAATACCAAAACATTGCTGCATATTTCATACTTGATTAATTTGAAATACTGATTATTTAAAATATATCAAGTCAGAGAATGTTTACTCTATTAATTAAAATACTTTTTTTTAAAAAGAGAGAGACAGAGAAAGAATTTTTTTAATATTTATTTTTTAGGTTTTGTTTTTTTTGGCGGACACAACATCTTTGTTTGTATGTGGTGCTGAGGATCGAACCCAGGCCGCACGCATGCTAGGTGAGCGCGCTACCGCTTGAGCCACATCCCCAGCCCAAATTAGAATACTTTTAAAAATGGACTATCTCAGCCTAATAATTGAAATTTAACTATCATAAATTAAAGTGGCTGACAGTAGAAGGCAAAGTCATGGACATTGTGACATAATAGTTTGTCATATTCCCTACAGATTTATTTAGAATGAAAATCAGCAGCACTTACACAATAATGATATGAAATCTGGATTCTCACTGTCCAGCTTGATGGTCATAAACTATGCTGGTTTGGGAAGGTGGAGGTTGGGGAAGGATGTGATCTCATCTTTATGAGATAAATACATGCTGATAAGACGGACAGATTCAGGTGTGAGCTGTGGAACTGGGCTCTTGTGTAAGCAGCGTCGCCTGTCTGTTCACCAGCGAACCCTCTGTCATATCTGCACAGGAGGCAACCTCTGCCCTTTCCTGCCTTGGGAGGGTACTCAGCCACCCTGGTCTTCATCTTCTTGCTAAATTCCTCACACTGGGGCTTGGGCCTTGCCCAGGGAGGTGGAGACTATAAACTGAGGCAAAGAGGAGAAGAATTGATTGGGAGATGTGGGAACTACAGGCTCAGTGGAAAGAAAGCAAGGGCTACTAGCACCTGCCCTGTATGCCTTGCAACACAGAGCTTGCTGGTTAGGACCTCTTTGTGTGCCAGAAGACCTGACTGGGCCACTGACAATTCTTTGGAACAAGAGACCCTACTTCAGTATTTCCTAGCCCCCCCTCTTTTTTTTTACCATTATTATCCCACTCCAACCCCAAAGAGCCTTTTAAGATTTTTTTCCAATTGCCCTCTTTCTTCCCCCATAAATATTAATACCACAGATACCACACACACACACACACACACACACAGAGGCATGCACATACAGCTGTATACTGTGACTCTTTGAAAGCCACAAATTATTGTAATAACTAAAAAAATTTTTCACCCTCTTACCGATTTCTGCCCCCTTGGAGATGTGGCCTCAATTGAAAATGCACACCCTTGATGAAATAAAGGCCTTAGTAGGCAGGGCCTTCCTGCTCACCCCTGGGGTGAGTGGTGAGGCTGGTCACATGGAAAAGGTGGATCAGATAGCCTGATGTCCATCACTAACCGGGATAAGCCCTGACCTCAGGTTCCAGTACTGCTAGAAGAATCTCCCTCCAAAATCACATTGATTTCACACCATCCCTTCAGCCTGCCTGTGACCCTCAGGGCTCAGCACCACCCCTCCCTGGGTGTTAGCCCTCAGCCTGACAGTAGAGAACAGGGCAGGGCAGGTGCAGGGCTCCTGGCAGAGGGTGACCCCCCTCCCAGGCAGTCCCCAGCCCCACCCAACCCAGCTCTGTGCCTCTGCTCAGAGCCTCTCTTTGCTCACTCTCTGCTCCTTGTCCCCAAACGAAAGCAAGAACTTCCCAGGCTTCCCCAGTCTCACGCTGACTAAAGGAACCTTTATACTTTTTACCTTACATGACTTCAGTCTCCTCCTCACAACCTCTAAGGTCCCCAGAGTATGTCCCCTGGCCTATAAGGGAATGGATTTCAGAGATCCAAGCACATACAGAGGACCACTGATGGACCTCTCAGGAGTCTGGCCTCCCTTATAATCAAAGGCTACAGGATACTGTCTTCCGCTTCTCCCTGGCCACCCTTGTTCTCCTCCAAGCCAGGAACAGAAAGCCAGTCCCCTTGCCCTAGGATCCTTCAGATGGTGTCCTAGGATCGTAGCCCCTGTGTTCCTTAGAACCCTGTCTGGCCCCTTCAGACCTAGGCCTTCACTCTAAAACTGTGAGCAAAGTAAGGGGCCTCTGAGATGGTACCACCTAGTCTACCCCACCCCTGTTGCACACTGGCTCTGTGCTGGGCCCTTTGACATAATTATCTAATTCAGTATTTACAGCAGCCCTCTAAGGTACATTGTACTGATAAACAGATACAGAAAGGTTGAGTAACCTGCCAGAGGTCACACAGCTGGCAAGTGGTAAAATCAGGACTTAAACCAGGTCTGTCTGTCCTTAAACCATCTGCAACATTGTTCCAGTTGAGAAAATATCTTCCCAGTTGTGTGGATAGAACTAAAAATGACAGGGCAGGGGTTGTGACTCTGTGGTAGAGCACTTGCCTAGCACGCATAAGGCACTGGGTTTGATCCCTAGCACCTCGTTAAAAAATAATAATAATAAATAACAGGGGGACTTCACTGCAGGGAATCTGCCATTCTTATTTTATGTGGTGCCAGGGATCCAACCAAGTGCCTCACCAGTGGTAGGCAAGCGCTCTACCACTGAGCCACAACCCAGGCCGCCCAAATCAGCCATTCTTAATATGACAGAGCTAACAAAAAGGGACAGAAACAGGATTTAAAAGCTCTTTCTCTGCCACCTCCTCAAGGTTCATGACTCCCATACCTCTTGCCAGTGAGGAATGAACCCTTTGAGGACAAAGAGTGACTTTTACTTTTCAGGCCCAATCAAGATAATCATGCCTCAGCCTCCTGCACCCAGAAACAAGGCAGACACCCTTCTTAGAATTTGGACACCATATCAGAGCAGGACTGGCCACCAGAGTAGCCTAAGGGTGAGCTATGGCAGCAATTGACATAACCCTCCATGAACTGTTCTTTCCTCAGGAAATTTTAACCCAAACCCAGTGTAGACAGCAAGGCTGACCCTCTAGGTGGGATCCAAGGCTCCAGCATGGTGGTGGAAGGTACCAGAGACCCTGGCAGTTTACATTCACTCTCTCCCTGTTTCCTGAACCCCTTGCAAGATCCTTTTTAAAGAAAAAACAGTGTGTTGGCTTGGGATTTAGTCATGTTTCATCATTTGCTTTCCTCTGACTTCTAAAACCACAAGGCTGGCTGAGCAATCCATGGCCCGCAGTGCAGGCTCTGAATCGCTTTGTGCAGGGAGAGGTTCTTAAAAGAAAAGAAAGTGGTGTCTGCTTGTCAAATGGAATGTGTGAAGACATCAGGGAGGAATGCACGGGCTTTAACTGTGAGGGTCCCTTGGCAGTGTGGGCTCTGAATCATGCCGCGTGGGCTCAGATTCCTAACAAGTGAAGCCTGGGCGATGACATCACTCCTGCAAGATCGTCTGGGGTCTGTTGTGCCGCCTGACACCATCTCACCTTGGGGATTTTCATCACATGGGGTTTTTCCCAGCTACCCTTGATGCCCATCATTCCTTCCAACTCATCCAGTTTCTATCAACTGGAATTGGCCAACCAGGACTTTCACAAGCCTGTCCTTTGCCCTCCCTCCTACAGGGCATTCTTGGGACAGAGTGTGCTTCTCATCTGATCACTTGGCATCCTTCCTGACAGTGTCTAATTCAGTCAGCACGTATTTCAGCCATGGGCTGGATGGCAGTGGGTCTCGGGATGTGGAGGTGATGAAGACTGTCTGTTTTCCTACCTTTGGAGAGGAGGGCAGAGAACATGGAAATGGGTAACTAACCTAGACTGGTGGGATCAGCAAAAACACAGTGCCAAGTAATAAATATGTAATGATTAAGCTAATGCCTGAGTCTTAGAAATCAAGTATAGGAGTTAGTCCAGGGAAGAGTGTGTGGAGCCATCTCCATGAACAAAGACCCACAAGTGAATAGGAAGTAAGAAGTGGAACTGGAAAAGTGGTTCAGGGAGCTATGTGTGCCATGTTAAGGAACTAAAATTTTATCCTAAGAAAGACGAGAAACATTGAAAAGGCTTTAGGCATGGAAGTGAGGAAAGAGAGGAAGTGAGGAAGAGAGAAAAATTGATCAGTAGCCCAAAATCCCAATCTCTTATCCTCAAAATAGCTTTCCCGCCTGCTCTGTTGCTGGACTTTCACAGATGACATTGGTACAAATCTTGACTGCCATTTACTACCTTTTCTTTTACACTGGACAGTTTGTTTTACCTTGGATTTCATTTCTTGCCTTTAATATAAAGACCCCACAGGGGTGCTGCTGGCCTCCATAGCACTTTGTACCCATCAGAAGACACTCCTGTGTAGGCTCACAGCTTGGGGAGCAAAGCATGTCCCACAGGCACACGCTCACCCCCTCAGCTGGGTACCCTCCTATAGTGCCACTTGGCAGAACCATTCACCACAATTCTTCCTCTCACAGAGTCCTTGTGAAAAATAAAGGTAATAACATGGGAAGCACCCAGAGGAGAGCCTGACTGAGTAGGGCCTCAGAAAAAAGAGCCACCGCAGACCACTGGGAGTTGGACTACCACGTGGGCATGCCATGCTAGGTAGCACATTCCA